ATACATTACGAGACACCCGAAAGACTCGCGATCGACTAAGAAAATCTGACGAGACACACTAGACGACGATTAACTCAGTCAACTCTTTAGACTAGGCATCGACTCACTGACTGTTACAGCGAGATTTATAGAGCTTTTGGATTGCGTTCGAGAACGTTCTGGGCCAAACCGGTTAGAATTCGTTCCAGAAGGTTCTCCATTCATCTAAAACATATTGTCAATTTTGTCACCAAATGAGTGATTTCGCGCCAAATATGGCAATCATTTTCCACTTTCTGGCAACCCTAAACCCAGTTTGTGGGAAGCTATCTCACCGCTGCTCGACATTTCGTAACAATACACATTACATTATTGTATTAAATATTAAGTTATTACTTACATTTATAAAATAATTGCCATTGCGCTGTTATATGAAGAAATTGATTGTTTAAGTGATAATGCTTTGATGCATTATATTTCAAACGCATGTGTTTTCTCTTTTTAAATATGATATCTGCTATGTCGTGAATGATTCCAAGTTCAAGAAAGGAAGAGGATAAGCATTAAAATTATTGAAATTTTTTAAATAATTCAAGAATTAATTTAATAGAAATTTGAAAATAATAGATGGAAAAAAAAATATTTGCACAATTAGAACTCTCTAAAAATCTCTCAAATTCATCTTTAAATAAAGATATCTTAAAAAGTATTTTAAGATAAAAACCAAGATAAAAATCTCTCAAAGATATTTTAAAAACATTTTAAGATAAAAAAAACAAGATAAAAATCTCTCAAAAATATCTTTAAAATATTTTAAGATAAAAAACAAGATAAATGTAGTATCCTTATCGTTAATTTCTGAAATCAGCTCCTCGCTGCTTAAATTTGCTCTTTCGTGCGACACAAGCATGTACAGTGCAGTTAACACATTCTTAGAGGTAAGCAATGATTGGCACCGTTTTCCAATATACAGAACTCCAGCCTCCAGCTTAGCATGCTGAGATTAGAACTCTTCAATACCGTTTTCCTACTTCTACAGGGGACTAAATGGAAATATCATAGAAGAGATAGTTTGTGTGATCGCATGCTAGTATAAATATTTGCACAGACGCAATCACCTGAAGCGGACAGTTTGGAATGCATCCAATTATGTCGAAATATAGCTGACATTTCCCAAATTATCCTGTTATATAGCGTTTGCAATTAATTTCGCATAATTAGAGTGCTTTTCCATTAAATTATTGCATGCCCTTTGAAAATTGCATGCAGTCAGTAACCGTTCCAATCCGTTAAATTCGTAACTAAGAATCGCCATCTGTCTCTTATCCATTTTAATGCGCCTTGTATTGAGGTAAATATCTTTTAAGTATGTGTTTCGACTGCAAGATTATTACTTGAATATGAATTTGGAGTTAATATTCTTAAGGCAAAGCTAAATTAAATTATCGGAATTCGGTTTATGGAACCGAACCCAATTATTTGTTATAATGCAAGATGCTAAATCCAGTTTAATTAGTTGGTTTAGTAAAAAATGCGAGTTGTTTTAGTTAGTATTATAAAATATTAGTTGATTTAATAAAATAATGCCACTAAATGTTTGGGAGATAATTATAAAAAACATTCTAAATTAAAATATTTATATATATCGCCTTTGATCATATTAACACAATGCAGACTTTGTAAAAGTAATTAAAGAAGGAAGTACAAAATTGTATCCTCATAAGACTAAAATGTAACTCATAAATAAGACTCATAAACATAAAGACTGTGTGAAAAAGGAAATTTACATAATATACATAAATGAATTAACTTAGCGTTTCTAGCTGTGAAATAGATACATCTCCGTTACTTTTTCGTACTCAGAATGGAATTTGGAATTCGAAACGAGTTGAGAATGGAGAGTAGAGAGAAAGTGAGCGTAGGCGAGGACTTGTAGAATTCTGCTTTTAGAATGTGGGAAAAAGAAGTGGCTTGTGTAACATCTGAAAATTGTTGAATGTAATACTTTTCTGTTAAAATTTGATTTTACACTAACGAAACAAAAGAAATTAATAAATTTCTGGCTACTTGTCGTATTGGAAAATTTTAAAAAAAAGTAAAAGAAATATTCACTGCTCAAGATTTGTTTAGTAGAATTTAGTAGTAAATTTCATAAATTTAGAACGATTAATTAAATCTCTAGCATTTTCACTTCGGTTGTTTTAATATAGGTTTTCAAAAACATGCTTACTTCTCACAAAATCAAATGTTACTAAAGCCAAAACTAAACTCTGAGCCGTAGAAAGTACTTATTTGTTTATTTTAAGAACTCAGTAAAATTTTATCTTACACGAAAGGTAACAAAAAATAACTTCTTTTGAGTAGAAACAGAAAAATTTCGTTTTGTTTCGTTTCAAACTCAAGTTGGTGCAGATAGTGAAACCAAACCAAACTTCAAGGCTCAAGGATAGAATATTTTAGTGTGCCGACTAATCTAAAATTTATCTTCAGCTTATCGGCAAGATTAAGAGAAGTAGGAAAAGTATGACTGGTAATTTTACTCTAAATCATATATCAGGAACATACTTTACTTACACATTGAAGAGAACTATTATAGTATTTCTCCACATTCAACTTGCATACCCTCTCTTATCAGCGTGGCTGAATAGCCATTTGTTTTCAAAATCATTGCTTTCAAGTGAAACATCAGTTATTAGAAACTGCGGAAAAGAGATTCAGAAGTGCTTGTCATTCTCATATCCTTGTTCTAAACATAACAGAGTGTTTTTCATAATGTGCTCAAATTGATGGCTCTAGGCCGAATAGAAACACAACACATTTTCTTCCTTTCCCATAACTGAATTAAGTTTTGTGTGTGTATACATATATATATATATATATATATATATACATAAATTATAAATTCCACGAATTTAGGACAATTCGTATAACTTCAGCAGCCTGTTCTCATAAATATGGACGAAAAAAATCTGAAACCGTCATATTCTTCGGGTGGTTGTTATATTAAACCCTTTCTGTCAATAAAAATAATAAAACGTTTTCTTTAATTATTTTTCCGTTATCTCCGAAGTCTTTGAAATAATAAAAATATGTCATAAAACAATTTATGTTTTTAATCTTTCAAAAATATTTTTACCAGCAGTCATATCTCTACATCTATTTTCTATTTAAAAGTCATTTTTTGCATACTTTGAGCGTATGAATATATAAGATATAACAAAATACGATAGATATCATGATTGTTGTTGTAAGTTGTGTAATCTTGAGAATAACTGGCGACCTCAAAATTAACTATTCTAGATTTTATGTTCTTCCCTCTAAATTCATCTGTTCTCCCAAATTCGAGATATTTCCATGTTACATAACAACCTAAAATTAACCAATCACAAATCAGCTGTACTTATGCATCACTTAGTATAAATAGTCTTGGCACAACAATTTACGTCATTCCTTTCCCTAGCTTCTACCCTGCAAAGAACTCTGCTCCGCTTATGCTTCCCTGCCTGAAATGACATAGTATCTTTTTATTCAGTTTATATAAAAATTATTTGTATTCAATTATGATCGAAAAGTAATTTGTCTGCCAAAGAAATAAAATTTTATGTGCCTAAAAATAAAGAGGGTGATTCTTCAATTCAGTTGTTTTAGCTGCATCATCGAGTCTTCACATTCAGCCACTATTGAAAGTTCAAGTGTTTTTTTCTACGCATTAAATCATGACATTTTAATATAGCCGCGAAAAACTTCGCACAAAAGGCGCGCCTCTCCTTGAACAATTGTATTTTTACACTTCTAGGAATATCTGGAGACAGAAAGAGCATCTGTGAGCAGCACTTTTTGAAGCCATAGAAGGGTAAGGAAAAATGCGTCATTCTCAAACGAAAGCTTTACATTTCTGCTTTTATACCAGTGGCTAATCTTAGGTTTTAATTCGCAAATTTTAATATTATGATTGAATGAAGCGTTGTGTAATCTTTTTTGCATTTTTTCGTCTTAGCTATATAAAGATCATGTGAAAAGGATTAATTTTGAAATGATGTAGCTCAATAATTTAGTATAAGCAGTTACTATTTTAGAATGGAAAGGGGAAATAATCAAATTAAAAGGAAAACAAAGGGGCTGTTGAAAATTAAAATTAATATTTTATCTCATTTACTTTTTCATTTACATGCATGTATGTTTGTGCTTGATTCGCATATAAATTCTGTGCATGTGTACACACACACACATGTCCATATAAATGAATAGATAGGTAGATATATATATGAATACATGATGCCATAATTTATTGAGTAGAAGAAAACACTAGAACTTTCAACAGCTTTCGATATCCGTTATGGCTGAGGTTTGAATGCGTACAAACGAAGATGACGAAACTGGGATTTTATAAATCACTTTTTACAATCTAGGTTATCTTAATACCTGGGTTTTTACAATCAAATTTTTATTTTCAAACATATCCAGTTAGTTTGGCAGACATTTATTCAACCACAGTTAAAAACGATAAATTTTATATACATGGATTTTAAAAATAAGACCTAGGCATTTATTTAAGCAAGGTAGTTCTTTTGCGAAGAGTATGTATGATGCAGAAAGCACTCTAATTTGTGATTGGTTAATTTTAGGTTTTTAAGTAACATGGAAAGATCTCGAATTCGGGAGAACAAGTGATTTTAGAGGGAGAGCATTAAATCTAGAATAGTTAATTTTTAGGTCACCAATAGTTCTTAAAGCAGCCGTCGTATTTTGTTATATCTTACATATACTTATATGAAAGTATATTATTTATATGTACGTTTGCTATTCTTACGAAATAAATTTTATTGACGTCTAGATCATAAAAACTTTAAATTAGTTATGAGTAATATCAAAAATATATATACAAAACGTTTATAGATAATTAAATAACTAACTTATAAACAATTTTGACTTCGTTTCTATAATAAAATATATGGGTTTGTACTAGATGCAGTTTTATGATATGCTGTTATTTTGTCATTGTTAATCTTGTTATGTTCCAGATGCTCCCATCTGCAGTTCAGGTCTGAGACGTGTATACGGTGTGGGTCGGCATGAAACAGTCAGAGTACTTTGCGAACTGGATGCTGATCCTCCTAACCTTGAGTTTCATTGGAGGTTCAATGTATCTGAAAGAAGTTTGGATATAGCAAGCTTCACAGCGAATGGGAAGGAAAGTGTTGCTACATATGTTCCTCATAATGATGATGAATATGGCACCTTATCGTGTTGGGCTACCAATGAAGTAGGATGGCAGAAGGAGCCTTGCATGTTTTCTATAGTGCCAGCAGGTATGTTTTAAAAACTTTCTAAGCTTCGTTTCCTGTTGCGTATTTCATTTTGTGAAATTTATGTAACGTAAGAATATGAGTAGTTGACTGTAAGCATGAGTAGATACATAACCGTCTAAATTAAGGGAGCACATTTAATTCTTTTATAAAATATGTTTAAAAATAAAAATAATATATGATAATTTTATACTTATAAGATAATTCAAAATACTATATGATATTTTTGCTTATTTTTATACCATAGCAAAGGATTTTGTACTCTTAATCCTACAAATATGTCATATTCAAACATATACAGGATGCTCAGAAAATAACTGGAAAAATTGTAAAGTCAGGCAAAAGAGAATGAAATAAATTTATATCGTAATGGAACATATGCGCCTAAATGGCGCGGCACAGTGCTGTTGCACGGGAGATAAAAACTTTCTGCTGGCCTGAATAGTCACTCCCTGCGTGGATTTCGAGTTGTATATATCGTTACTCGAATGCTAGATTGCCGACATGCATTTTATCTGTAGGGCTGCAGTTGGGAAACGAACAGCTGCTGGGAGGAGGTGCAGGTATAATTTGAAACAAGGCTGAACTCTGTGCATCCTCGTAATCATATTAGGCATCGCTCTAACTGCTAAGTTTATGCCTCTAATTCGAATTCCAAGAGAGAGCACACCTGTGGCGGTTTGATGCTTCTTCTCCCCTACTTTCCTAGCACTAGCCTCTCGAAAGGATTTCAGCCTAACATGTATTTTGTGTGCCCTCTTGTCGCACAGATACTATACTCTCACAGATTTCCGTACCATCTCCAAGTTTCGAACCGAAACCAGTCGGTACAGCAATCAGAGTCACTAACCATTATCCCGTCAAGACAGCTGAAAAGAGGTGCATGGGGATTGCTCATCGTACTACTTTATAGCCCCATTTCAGTCGCAGTTTCGTAAATCCGTGAATAAGATGCATGACGGCGAGCGTGACGTTTCCATAGCCATGCATACCGTTCGAAGTACATAGTTGAAGCGACTGCTTATGAAAGCTGAATACTTTTTCTTCCATTCACAGCATAGCACTGCAACGCGCCATTTTGGAACTTACATTTCATCACAAAATTTGCTTGTTTCACTGTTCCCTTTCTTTCTTCATATTTTTTAAGATACTGCATTTCTTCAAAAAATTCTTCAGAAAAGTTTGAATTGAAGCATTTTGAACGGTGCGTCTATAACTGTGCGTAGTTATTAATTATGAACTAATAATACATAATTTAAAAGGCCTCATAATTATCCTTCTCACACGCTTTTCTAGCGAAGAAATTTGCGAAATTTAATATTCTTACTCATATCTGTAATGTTGTTGGGCTTTTCTTCAGGCGACAAAATATATGTATTAATACCATAGTGTTTCGTGATCATTAACATAACCACAGCAACGTATTGCAATTAATCTATTCTTATGTGCTCCTTGTTAAGTAATTATTGCTGCTATTTCTCCTTATAAAGCTCTAAGAAAGTAAAATAAACTTCAGTACTATTTTCTATTACCATTAGCATTTTTATGTAAAATATAATTTTATCACTAAAAAAAGTGCAACCTAACAACCACTAATAATACTGTATTTAAAGAAATTTTCAATTCCTTTTTTTTAATAAGAGGACGGTTGTTGTGTTGTATTTCACAGCATCAAAATTCATTTTATAATTTGCGAAATTTCAAGAATATATTCTAAATAATTAAAACTTAAACGAGAAGAAATTTTGTGAATAGTTTTATATTTCTAAATTATAGGAAGAACGCAAGATTAAATAGAGTTGTGTCTATCATTTTAGGTGTCTTATTCTTCATATGTTTTCCTAAACGTTGAGGTTAAACGTTATGAGTGCATCATACAAAAGATAATCTACTATCTCTAAACGGAGCAAAAATGTTTAAACTGTAGCTGCTACTATAACTGTACCTTTAACTGGAGAGGAGCAGTTGTCATTTTGGATATATATTAATAATAATATCGTGGATAAATTGACAGTGTTTTTTTTAAATAACACTGCTAGATTTGTTGACCGGCATATGTATTTTAAATGATGACAGGATTTTTATACTATTACTCACCATTAAAATGTTAAATCGAAGCCAGGGATACTTTTATTATTATTCATATACTACAATGATACTTTTATTATAACCAGCTTTAAACTTTCCTCTTAATTTAGATACGCTATATGATTTTGTTATCAATTACTATTTACTGTCCTAGTCGACGCAGCTGTTTGAAAAACAAAATTACAGATTGTAAGCTAAATTTATTAAAAGTATACATTAAGTTATTGAAAAATAATCATATAATACATCAATTGTGTAAGAAGCAGTTTCTTAGATTTTTTTTTAAGATTAGCTTCCATCTCTTAAAGATAATTTTAGCCAGTAGCCATGTATGCCAACATGAAGGTAATGCCTACGAGAAAAATAACTATATTGTAATAGAACAATTCCATGTATTTCTTTGTCTAGACAGTTGACGTTACAACAATCGATGATACGTCAGAACACAACTGATGGGTTATTGGTTGCACGTGAGCAAATGAGGATCAATTAATTGTCACGAATGCTATCAATAACAATCCGGCTAGTGATAAAAAGATAAAAAAGATAATGCCTAACGGTAACAGCTGAAGAAACTGAATTATTCATTACTGTCTCAGACTGAATTTCTCTAAAAGAATGTACATAATGCAAGGTAATCCAACCACACATACACATGATACGTAGAGCCATCTGATTACTCTGGCATTAAGAATGCCTATGAGGTTTATCTAGCAAGAAAATGTATTCGGAATATTAACGGTATTTATTAGAACTTCAATTATAAAATAGCAGAAAAATTTTGGAATTATGATCAAGAAAATACCATTTTTCACAGCATATTTTAGATCTTTTTGGAACCGAATCTTTGGACTGCTGGAGGGTTGTGTTAAGTTACTTAAACACGGCAAAGCACACGATCGCTTTCTGTCTGATTACGAGGGAAAATATCAAGGATAAAAAATAAAACCGGCGTAGAATGAAACTTTGTAGGAGAAATGAAAGCAAGGAGAAAGCATCGAAAAATAAAATAAAGAAATATAATAAATGAAAAATAAAGTGAAAAATAAAGAGATGCAAACACTTTTGCAGTTTTAGAGCATTATCGTGTAAAATATGAAGTAAGAATTGAATCATCTAGAAATTATCGAATGATGATAGCATCGCAGATATGAACTTTATGACTGAAAAGTGTAAGCAAATTTTCGTGGATTGATTTTTGAGCACAAGAAACAAGTAATATTTTTACCTCTGGGTATTTCATAATATTGGAATAATTTTTTTTATTGAAGAAGCAAGCAGAAAAGCATTAAAAATTTGGAAATTTATAAAAAGTTGCTAGACATAGCATTTAACAGAACTTTAAATTAATTCATCTCCTTTTTTCTAATCTTCTGTATATCATTATTTTTTCCCTGAAGATTTACCAATTCGTCTTTATGAAACAGCTTAATAAAATAAATAACAGCTTAATAAATAATAGTTATCAACATACATTTGGGGGCATCGTTAAACAGCGGCTTATGTGCTGTTTCAGAGTTTATGGCATCATTTGATCATGAGAACATCGCGTTTCCATTTTATTATAGCAGTTTATTTACAATGGTCGGTCGCCGATAGAAAACGCGGCGAAAATTTCGCACCCACATTGCTCAGCCAAAAATACCCTATTCCAGACAACCCTTCCTCCTCAAAAAAAAAGAAAAATTATGCTAGGAATTAAGCTTTTTACCAAGCTTTGACAACAGTCAAATCTAAAATACTATATAATGTATTGTCCATCTACGAATCCGTGATTTTTATTAAAGAGTTTCTAGCCATTTGGCTTAGAACAGCCCTCCTTTAACTTTTTTAACTCATGACCCTATATTGTCATCGAGATTTTTTCACGACATTAGATATTAAATATAAAGTGATTTTCATAGTTTATTTTCAAGTGCATGCAAAATTACACTGTTAATATAAGTGTGTTTCTGATTTTTATTTTGTATTTTTCTAGATTATTCAAATTATTTATCATGTAAATAGGGTATTTTTCTTGTAAATCGGGATTTGATTTATGCACATAATTCCTCGCCGAGCAATACATGAAAACAGGTAACTTGGTTGTGGGGTTTATAGTTATATTAACTAACATATATTTTAAGCTATCTTTCCTGTCAAGCCTTTACTTTCCCCTAGAATTGCCAATGCCAGAGTATGTAAATTGTAGTAGAACGCGCAGAGTATTCAAATTTTAGCAGAAGTAAATTTAGTTTAAATAGAAGGGAAACGAGATTGTAAGTGTGCTTCTTGAATCGCGAGCGTGAAGGTTGCTAGGTAGAAATTTAAGAACCCGCGCGTTCGGTCTGTGTGTCTATCTCGGCAGTTCATTGAATCTTTCAACTTCTTAATCAGTAAATTTGCTGAATCTCAGCTGTATCTTAGAACGTGGTTAAGTTAGTTACGATTATAGATCCTCGTAGGTAGTGATCTCATTATTTATTCATCCTGCCATTTATTTTTAGTTGTACTTTTCTATTTTGTTAAACCGCTGGGTCGGCGTAGTTTGTGAGCGTCAAGTGAACGCAGTTGTAATTTCTAAAGTGGAATAAAAAGGGATTTAAACCCTTCTTACGAGTTTGTGTAATTTACAGTTCCAAGATGTCACTACCACTGTTGCTGACAAGTTGGGGGACTTGCAACATTATATGGTAAAATAAGTATAAAAGAAAAGTATTACTTTAAAAATCAATATATTTTTTATAAGTGTAGGTAATATGTAATATACGGGCAATCTTTCATTATCTATAGTAATGTTTCAAATGCCCCTAATTATGAATGGAAGTATTATAAATTAAATGGCAATTTTAATTACACTAATTAGAATACATAATTAAAATAAAATAAAGATTAAAATTATACATAAGATAAATAAGATAAAAGTACAATGTTTT